GCTGCAGGATTCACCTCCTTAGGGCACCCCGACAGCTCCACCTCCGAGAGCTCCAGGCTTTCTCACTGCTTAATCTTCGTTTCTCTCGGGTCCTCAGAGATCCTTATAGCCATGGACAGGCCGCGCTCTCAGCAGGACACCAGCGTGACATGTTCATACATACTGTTCACTTGATCTAAGAATGAACTTCTACTGGATCCACCAGACCGGCGAAGTCAAAATTCGCCATCACATGTGGCAAGGGCCACGCTTCTCACCCGTTAGGCTTCCCGAATGCTCCAGGTTTCACCTCCTTTAGGCCACGTGGAGAGCTCCAGGTTTCACCTCTTAGGCTTTCCCAAGCTTTACCTCCTTTAGGCTCCGGCCCCCCTCCCAAAAGCTCCAGGCTTCACCTCCTTTAGGCCACCCCAAAAGCTCCAGCCTTCACCTCCTTTAGGCCCCCCCCCAAAAGCTCCAGGCTTCACCTCCTTTAGGCCACCCCAAAAGCTCCAGGCTTCACCTCCTTTAGGCCCCCGAGACCTCAACCTCCTTTAGGCCCCCCGAGAGCTCCAGGCTTCACCTCCTAAAGTAGGCTTCACCTCCTTTCGGCCCTGGAGAGCTCCAGGTTTCATTTTGTTTTGGCCCCCGAGAGCTCCAGGTTTCACCTCCTTTAGGCTTCCCGAGAGCTCCAGGTTTCACCTCCTTTAGGCCTTCGAGAGCTCCAGGTTTCACCTCGTTTAGGCGCCCGCGAGCTCCAGGTTTCACCACCTTTAGGTCCCCCGAGAGCTCCAGGTTTCACCTCCTTTAGGCCCCCCCGAGAGCTCCAGGTTTCACTTCCTTTAGGCCCCCCGAAAGCTCCGGGTTTCACTTCCTTTAGGCCCCCCGAGACCGGCGAAGTCAAAATTCGCCATCGCATGTGGCAAGGGCCACGCTTCTCACCCGGAGCACGGCTATGGCCTGCCAACGCAAGACGAGCTAACGCGATGAAAGATGGGTAATCGACCTATGAAGTACAGAGCACCTACTCTTCTGCACCGAACGCCTGTTTTGATGCGCTTCAACAGTTGCAAGTTTCACCTGCTTGGCTTCCATGCGAGAGATCCAGGTTTCACATACCTCGGCACGCTTCGAAAATATGTATTTTGAGAGCTCCAGGTGTCACCTCCTTTTTAGATTCCCCGAGAGCTTCAGGGTTTCACCTCCTCTAGGCACCCCGAGAGCTCCAGGGTTTCACCTTCTTTAGGCTTCCCGAATGCTCCAGGTTTCACCTCCTTTAGGCCACGTGGAGAGCTCCAGGTTTCACCTCTTAGGCTTTCCCAAGCTTTACCTCCTTTAGGCTCCGGCCCCCCTCCCAAAAGCTCCAGGCTTCACCTCCTTTAGGCCACCCCAAAAGCTCCAGCCTTCACCTCCTTTAGGCCCCCCCCCAAAAGCTCCAGGCTTCACCTCCTTTAGGCCACCCCAAAAGCTCCAGGCTTCACCTCCTTTAGGCCCCCGAGACCTCAACCTCCTTTAGGCCCCCCGAGAGCTCCAGGCTTCACCTCCTAAAGTAGGCTTCACCTCCTTTCGGCCCTGGAGAGCTCCAGGTTTCATTTTGTTTTGGCCCCCGAGAGCTCCAGGTTTCACCTCCTTTAGGCCGAGCGAGAGCTCCAGGTTTCACCTCCTTTAGACCCCCGACTCCAGGCTTCACCTCCATTCACCTTCTTTAGGCCCCCCGAGAGCTCCAGGCTTCACCTCCTTTAGGCCCCCCGTAGAGCTCCAGGCTTCACCTCCTTTAGCTTCACCTCCTTCGGGCCCCCAGGCTTCACCTCCGGAAAGCTCCAGGCTTCACTTCCTTTAGAGCTCCAGGTTTCACCTCCTTGAGAGCTCCAGGTTTCACTTTTAAAGCCACCTCAGAGCTGCACATTTCACCTCCGAAGAGCCTTTCAGATTTTAGGCTTTGTTTTAGGCACCCTGTAAAAACCCCACCCTTTAGGGCGGGGACCCCTTCTCCTTTAAGGCGCTGCAGAGGTTTGGCCTCCTCTAGGCCGAAAAGGTCCAGACTTCGCCGCCTTCAGGTGCTTCACCTCGTTTGGGCCCTCGCCCCCCCAGAGCTTCAGGCTTCAACTTTCACTTGGACCATGCAGAGCCTCACCTTGTCTGTAAGGAGTAAGATCACTGCTTCCGCTTGCCAGAGATTAGCCCCTTATTCGGTTCAGAAGCAACCGATACTTTTGACTAGCTTTTAGGCTTACCAGCTTTGTCGAAACGTTAGTGCCCCAGTAAACGGGAAAACAGCATGGCAGCAACAAGCCTCGTGGAAGGCCCAGGCGCGCCGTGCCTTGGGCCCGCGGAATGCAACTGATATCGTCTAAAACTATTAATAAGCGCACACCATTCCAGCCTTTGTAGCGGAGAGTTCGTCCTGACAGGCAAGCCGGCGTTGGTCCTGCAGGCGGAGCTCGTGTGGAACCGCCAGCACCGCGCTCCACAGGTCTACTACCGCACCTTGAGCGGTGCCGAGGTGGGTGAGATGGTGCACACCCCGAACTCGCTGCCAAATGGACGGTCAATTACCTGGGAACTCGTTTCGGAGATCGATGCGATCTGGATCGCTAAGGCGGAGGGCTTCGTCGAGAACTGGAGCGATCTTGTTCGTGTGGTGCTGCAGGGGGTACCTGCGCAACCTGACAGCCCGAATGCCATTCTCTGGAGTTTGGGGCGGTCCCCGAAGCGGCGACGCATCACGCAAAAGACCTGCCCAGAGGAACAAAGGTTTCGTGACTGGCAGGCATATGTCGTGTCCAGACTGGATCCCACTCGCGCTCAATGTGAATGAAAAGGGATGCCGTAAATGATCCTTAGACTGCTTCAGCCTCCAGGCTTGACCTCCTTTAGACCCCTCTACGCTTCCAGGCTTAACTTTCTTAAACTCCTCCGCAAAAATATTGTGCGATCTGTATGAAGAGACAAAGACCTCCAGGAGTCTCTCGCAACCGTCTCACACAAGAATTCTGTTCCGCCAGTATAAAGGCCAATCCAACCCTCTGCTAATTAAAGATGAAGGAGAGACCTCTTCACCTCCTTTAGGCCCCCGAGAGCTCAGGCTTCACCTCTTTTAGGGCCCCCCAAAAGCTCCAGGCTTCACCTCCTTAAGGCCCCCAGGCTTCACCTCTTTTAGGCCCCCACAAGCTCCAGGCTTCACCTTCTTTAGGCCCCCCCAACAGGCTTCACCTCCTTTAGGCCTCCCACAAAGTTCCAGGCTGCACCTCCTTTGGTCCCAAGTCGTGCTTATAGGCTTATAGGCTTGTAGGCCGCAAGGCGCATACCACGAGTTAGCATTATAAGGCATGATAAGATGGATGTGACAGGTCATGCTCCGGTCACGATATCGGACAATCGCGTTGATCGCAGCGCTCCAGGCCTCGAGGTCCCCCCCATCCGAGCTAAACTGCCACTGTTCGACCATGTTCTTCAACGAGCGCAGCAAGGAGGTCTTCGAGTACACTGTCGTTCGCTGGGCCGGGGGCTTGCGGCGGGAGCACATGGCGCAGCTGGCCAGGGTCGTGGCTGGCGTTGCAGCCGAAGCGTGGCGCCCCGTTCACGTCGGCAACGGCTTCGAAGTGGACGAGCCGGCCTTTTTCAACGCGAGGCTGGGACCCCGGACGGCGTTCCAGTACCTGAACGAGTACCTCGCGTGGCCCTCGAAGGTCGGACCGGTGTCGCAGACCTTGGTGATCCGAAAGGTGCCCGCAACACCCCTTGTGTTGCAGTGTAGTCTGCGTGCACGGGGAATCACTCTGGAAGCCTCCTTCACCACGTTGAGCGGATCGAACCCCATGCCCTCGGCAAAATACATCAGCAGGCCCATTGTGCGCGTCCGGGACATTGCCCGCCAGACGCGCAATATGGCGCTCGCTTCGGGCCTCCTCCGGTCCACTCGCCAGCAGTTGCAGATCATCTTGGAGGGCTTCCACGCCTTGCCCGTGGACGATGCGGTGGTGTGGTCCGAACGAATCAGAACCCGACCCTCCAAAACGAGACTCATCGGAAAGACCAACCTATCGAATGTCAACCTACGAGCCGTTCTGAGAGCTGCCTGCCAACGTAAGACGAGCTAACGCGATGAAAGATGGGTAATCGACCTATGAAGTACAGAGCACCTACTCTGCACCGAATGCCTGTTTTGATGCGCTTCAACAGTTGCAAGTTTCACCTGCTTGGCTTCCATGCGAGAGATCCAGGTTTCACATACCTCGGCACGTTTCGAAAATATGTGTTTTGAGAGCTCCAGGTGTCACCTCCTTTTCAGACTCCCCGAGAGCTTCAGGGTTTCACCTCCTCTGGGCACCCCGAGAGCTCCAGGGTTTCACCTTCTTTAGGCTTCCCGAATGCTCCAGGTTTCACCTCCTTTAGGCCACATAAAGCTCCAGGTTTCACATCTTAGGCTTTCCCAAGCTTTACCGCCTTTAGGCACCCCCCCAAAAGCTCCAGGCTTAACCTCCTTTAGGCCCCCCCCCCAAAAAAAAAGCTCCAGGCTTCACCTCCCATAGGGCCCCCCGACAGCTCCAGGGTTGACCTCCTTTAGGCCCCCCGAGAGCTCTTTTAGGGCCCCCCAAAAGCTCCAAGCTTCACCTCCTTTAGGCCCCCAGGCTTCACTTCTTTTAGGCCCTCCCCAAGCTCCAGCTTCCCCTCTTTAGCCCCCCCACAAGCTCCAGGCTTCACCTTGTTTAGGCCCCCCCAAGAGCTCCCCTGCCCCAAACTTCACTTCCTTTAGCTTCACCTCCTTTAGGGCCACCCCCAAAAGCTCCAGGCTTCACCTCCTTTAGGCCCCCCCCAAAGTTCCAGGCTTGACCTCTTTTGGTCACAAGTCGTGCTTATAGGCTTGTAGGCCGCGAGGCGCATACCACGAGTTAGCATTATAAGGCATTATAAGATGGATGTGACAGGTCATGCTCCGGTCACGATATCGGACAATCGCGTTGATCGCAGCGCTCCAGGCCTCGAGGTCCCCCCCATCCGAGCTAAACTGCCACTGTTCGACCATGTTCTTCAACGAGCGCAGCAAGGAGGTCTTCGAGTACACTGTCGTTCGCTGGGCCGGGGGCTTGCGGCGGGAGCACATGGCGCAGCTGGCCAGGGTCGTGGCTGGCGTTGCAGCCGAAGCGTGGCGCCCCGTTCACGTCGGCAACGGCTTCGAAGTGGACGAGCCGCGTTCCAGTACTTGAACGAGTACCTCGCGTGGCCCTCGAAGGTCGGACCGGTGTCGCAGACCTTGGTGATCCGAAAGGTGCCCACAACACCCCTTGTGTTGCAGTGTAGTCTGCGTGCACGGGGAATCACTCTGGAAGCCTCCTTCACCACGTTGAGCGGATCGAACCCCATGCCCTCGGCACAATTCCTCAGCAGGCCCATCATGCGCGTCCGGGACGTTGCCCGCCAAACGCGCAAGATGGCGCTTGCTTCGGGCCTCCTCCGGTCCACTCGCCAGCAGTTGCAGATCATCTTGGAGGGCTTCCACGCCTTGCCCGTGGACGATGCGGTGCTGTGGTCCGAACGAATCAGAACCCGACCCTCCAAGACGAGACTTATCGGAACGACCAACCTATCGAATGTCAACCTACGAGCCCTTTTGAGAGCTGCCTGCCAACGTAAGACGAGCTAACGCGATGAAAGATGGGTAATCGACCTATGAAGTACAGAGCACCTACTCTGCACCGAATGCCTGTTTTGATGCGCTTCAACAGTTGCAAGTTTCACCTGCTTGGCTTCCATGCGAGAGATCCAGGTTTCACATACCTCGGCACGCTTCGAAAATATGTATTTTGAGAGCTCCAGGTGTCACCTCCTTTTTAGACTTCCCGAGAGCTTCAGGGTTTTACCTCCTCTAGGCACCCCGAGAGCTCCAGGGTTTCACCTTCTTCAGGCATCCCGAATGCTCCAGGTTTCACCTCCTTTAGGCCCCGTGAGAGCTCCAGGTTTTAGGTTTCACCTCCTCTAGGCCTTATGAGAACTCCAGAGCTCCAGGCTTCACCTCCTCTAGGCCCCCTGAGAACTCCAGGCTTCACCTCCTTTAAGCCACCCGAGAGCTCCAGGCTTCACCTCCTTTAGACCCCCAGGCTTCACCTCCTTTAGGTCCCCCAAAACCTCCAGGTTTCACCTCCTTCAGGCTCCCGAGAGCTCCAGGTTTCACCTCTTTTAGGTCCCCCGAAAGCTCCAGGTTTCACCTCCTTTAAGCCCCCCGAGAGCTCCAGGTTTCACCTGCTTTAGGCCCCCCCAGAGCTCCAGGCTCCACCTCCTTTAGGCCTTGAGAGAGCGACAGGCTTCACTTCCTTTAGACCTCCCGAGAGCTGCTTCACCTCCTTAGGGCCCTGCGAGAGTTCCAGGTTTCACCTCCTTTAGGCCCCACCAAGAGCTTCCCCCCAAAAAAAAACTCCAGGCTTCGCCTCTTTTAAGTCCCCCCCAAAAGCTCCCGGCTTCACCTCCTTTAGGCCCCTGCAAAATTTAAGCTTCACCAACTTGAGAGCTCCAGGCTTCACCTCCTTGAGGCCGCCCAGAGCTCCAGGCTTATAGGCCCCGCAAGAGCTCCAGGCTTCACCTGTTTTGAGCCCCCCGAGAGCTCCAACTTCACCTCCTTTAGCTCGTCCCAATCCCCTGGCTTTAGTATATCATGAGCATTGAAAGAGCCGTACAAGCGCAGTCGCCAAAAGAATTAACTCTAGATGCATCCGCTGCCTTGAGCTCGATTTCAGAAGATAACTCGCCACACGACACACCTCACATATATACTGCATCAAATGTTCAGCGCAACAAGCGGCAACCTGAATCACGTTGTCGCACGGTCAGCAGTCAATCACATTGTTAAATTGCTCCCGGGCTGCCAAAGCTATTCAAGGAGAAAGGCGTGCAGCCCTCAGCTTCAACATGCAAGAATGTCGCAGAATATCTCAAACATATTTTCATTTTGCAGGAGGTCATGAACCAGAACCGCTAACAGCTCAGCCACCAGACCCATGTGTATGTTGAGAACACAATCTGCCAAAGCACTGTGAGAGGAAAATGGAATACGCTCATCGACAAGTTCTTGGAGGCATGGGTTTTCGCAGCAAGAACTGGGCTCTCACTGCACATGAATCTCTCAATGCAAAGGAGACCAAACTTCCCGAGTCCTTCCGCAAGGCAAGAGCTCGTATAAAAGTTTTCACACAGCTCTCATTAAGTCCAGATTCCAATAGCAATTGCCTGCAGGAACCCTATGTGCGGCTCTTTCATCTTCGCGTGTATGAAAACATGCACGTCTACGAAAAGCTACAAAACGATGCTGTGCTGGAGGCGCATCCACACCTCGCGTGAAACCGAGACTGCCTCACGACCCAACTTTGCTGGCAGGCATTGAAAGCAGAAGCGAACCAACACTACAGGGACATCATCAGACAGTGCATGATGACACTTGTGCCGGCAATCGACAAGGCCACAAAGATTGTCATTTGCATGCTAGTTGCATCCCGCTCTTGCGCATGCATCGTGAACCACAGCGAGGCCGCGGAGCGCGCGAAGATGATGTATCACCCAGACAAGGAGCACCGCGCGGAAAACCCATGACGTGGACTCCAAAGCCAACGAACATGAAAGAAAAAGCAACCGCGTAACTGCATCACTGTCGTTCCAGTTGCGGTTGCTTTCACAATCACTTAGACACGAATTTTGTTCCATCTATATGCAGAGTCCACAGAATTGAAAACCTCTTTAGGCCGCTTGAAAGGAATTTGTTTCGCCTATCCTGCAGTATATAAACATTGTCATAAACAGCCTTGTCCTAGTAGCTCCAAAGCAACACAAAGTAGTCCAACTGCGTGGCCGTCAGCTGGAATGCAACAGTGTAGACTCACACAACACACACAGGCTCGAAGGCAGATTGTGAATCAAAGCCGCCGCCTGCTGTCACAGCAATTTCGGAGTGTGGCCTGGTTTCTTGGCAGTTCTTCCTTCAAGTCGGCACTAACCATACTTTGATACACATAAAGAAATCAACAAACCTCCTTTAGGCCCCTCGAGAGCTCCAGGTTTCACCTCCTTTAGGCCCCTCGAGAGCTCCAGGTTTCACTTCCTTTCGGCCCCCCCAAAGCTCCAGGCTTCACCTCCTTCAGCCCCCCAAGAGCTCCAGGCTTCACCTCCTTCAGCCCCCCAAGAGCTCCAGGCTTCACCTCCTTCAGGTTCTCAAGAGCTCCAGGTTTCACCTTCTCAGGCCCCCTGAAAGCTCCAGGCTTCAGCCCCAGAGCTCCAGGCTTCACCTCCTTCACCACCTCCTTAAGGCCCCCCCGGAGAGCTCCAGGTTTCACCTCCTTTAGGTCCAGGCTTCAGCTTTTTTAGTCCCCCCAAGAGCTTCAGCTCCTTTAGGCCCCCCCGAAATTCCTTACCCCCGACAGCTCAAGGTTTCACCTGCTTTAGCCCGTCTTCAGCTCCTTTGGGCCTCCCGAGAGCTCCAGGCTTCACCTCCTTTAGGCCCGCCCAGAGCTCAGAACTCCAAGCTTCACCCTTTAGGCTCCCCAGACGTCCAGGCTTCACCTCCTTTAGGCCTTCCCAGAGCTCCAGGTTTCACCTCCTTTAGGCCCCCCGACAGCTTTAGGCCCCCCAGAGCTCCGCTTCACCTTGTTTAGGCCCCCTGCAATTCAGCCCCCCAAGATCACCTAGGCCCCCGAAGGCCTTACCTCCTTCAGCCCCACAGGAGCTCCAGGTTTCACCTCCTTTAGGCGGCCCGAGCTCCAGGTTTCACTTCCTTTCGGCCCCCCCAAAGCTCCAGGCTTCACCTCCTTCAGCCCCCCAAAGAGCTCCAGGCTTCACATCCTTCAGGTTCTCAAGAGCTCCAGGTTTCACCTCCTTTAGGCCCTCTCCAGGTTTCACCTCCTTTAGGCCACTTGACAGGTCCAGGCTTCACCTCCTTCAGGCCCCCCGAAAGCTCCAGGCTTCACCTTCTTCAGCCCCCCAAGAGCTCCAGGTTTCACCTCCTTTAGGGCCCCCGAGAGCTCCAGGTTTCACCTCTTTAGCCCCTAAAGCCCCCCGAGAGCTGCAGGTTTCACCTCCTTTAGGCCCCCCCAGAGCTCCAGGTTTCACTTCCTTTAGGCCCCTCGACAGCTCCAGGTTTCACCTCCTTTAGGCTTCCGAGAGCTCCAGGTTTCACCTCCTTTAGGCCCCCAACCCCGAGAGCTCCAGGTGTCACCTCCTTTAGCCTCCCGAGAGCTCCAGGCTTCACCTCCTTTGCACCCCCCGAGAGCTCCAGGTTTCACCTCTTTTAGGCCCCCCCCAAAAGCTCCAGGTGTCACCTCCTTTAGGCCCCCAGAAAGCTCCAGGCTTCACCTCCTTTAGGCCTCCCGAGACGTCCAGGCTTCACCTCCTTTTAGGCCCCCCAAGAGCTCCAGGTTTCACCTCCGTTAGGCCCCACGAGACCTCCAGGTTTCACCTGCTTTAGCCCCCCCGAGAGCTCCAAGGAAAGAAACGATCAAGACAAGTTCCAAAAAGCAGGCGCAGAACATGACTCACAGCATGCAGCATGCAACGCATTCCTGCTGATCAGGCCATAAGAAAGCTGCATTTGCTGCACGCCGAGTTCAGTGGCACGGAACCTTGGCGACTCATCCAGCTTGCCACCTCCTCAGATTCCGCTTCAAAATAAAATAGATTTGCAAGAGAGCATGACCTAAGCGTCAGGCATTGAAGACAGCCAAATCATCAGAGACCGCGTACAAAGAACTACTGCGGGAGAATGAGAGGCGCGTTCCCACGCATGCCTGACTCCACTTCCATTGAATCCTGACCGTGTTGACAGGGAAATTAAGGAAGCTGCGAAGAAGCTTGGAAAGCGACCGTCCGAAGCTCATCCTATCCTCCAGTTCTACTCAAGGATAACATTTCACTAGCTCTGCAGCCTCAGGCAAAACGTGAGATCTTGGAATTTAAGACCTGCAGCAGTGTGTGCGCAGGCAAGAGAGAAAAACTTGTAGCGCACATGCACAGACACTGACTTTCTTTAGGGCTTCCAGGAGCTTCAGACTTCACCTTGTCTATGGCCCCCGAGTGCTCCAGGCTTCACTTGCTGCACCCGCTTTAGGCCCACCGAGAGCTCAACTCTTTAGAACCCCCCGAGAGCTCCAGGCTTCACCTCCTTCGCCCAAAACACATGAGCTGCTGTTGCTCTTGGCTCGGAAGTAGACTTTTGTCACTTCGTCTACTTGCCATGGCTTCTTGTCAGCATTGTTGTGTGACCAGCTATGTGAGTGCGACATGCCAAGAACACACCCCATCCTGACAAGGCGACGTGGCCGTGCCTGGTTTTTGCCTGTGAGTTCGAGTGGAACGCTGGCTGCATGGTCACATTCCGCTTTCTCACCGGCGACGTGCTAGGCGTTTTTCAATGGACAGTCGAAGCCCGAGTGAGCATCGTGCAATGCAGAGGTGTGTCAGTTCTGCACCTGGTGCATGCTGTCTGCGGTAAGGAACTGGAAACCGTGTCTGCCGGACACCTGATGTGGAAAGCAGAATCCTTTCTCCGAGAGCATGCTAAAGCACCAGACATCCCTTACCACATCATCCTCCTGTACAAGGGCAACGTCCTGAATCCAGACTGGATGCTTTCAGGTCGGACATGTCAAGTCTGCCCAGTGCCATGTAAGTTTTTCTGCTCTCCTTCCCGGAAGGACCTGATCTTCTTGAACAGAAGCCGCTAGCAACAGTGAGAGCTCGGAATAAAATGCCAATAGCAGACTGGCTGCAGCGCTGCCGTCTCTGTGCGCTGCGCAGCCTCTGACAAGGTCGCAAACATGCACATTTCTGTCTGTTTGTGACGTCTGTGTGTGTGTGTGTGTGCCTGCGGATGAGAATTCTTCCACATGCAATGCAGCAGCGTCGTCCTTCAACCACTCGATTCGCGACTCCGACCAAGAGGACTGTGAAGAGGGTTTGACGATTGGGGCTGGGTCGAAAGAAATGAAGATGCGCGTGAGGTTTCACCTTCTTTAGAGCCCCCGACAGCTCCGCGCGTCACCTCCTTTAGGGTCCCCGAAAGCTCCAAGCTTCACCCTCTTCAGAGCGCCCGAGAGCTCCAGGTTTCAAATCCTTTGGTGCTGCCAAAAGCCCCACCCAGGTTTCACTTTAGGGCCCCCACCTTCCCCCGAGCTCCAGGTTTCACCTCCTTCAGGCCCCCCGAGAGCTCCAGGCTTCACCTCCTTTAGGGTCCCCGAAACCTCCAGGTTTCACCTTCCTTTAGGCCCCCCGAGAGCTCCAAGTTTCACCTCCTTTAGAGCCCCCGAGAGCTCCAGGTTTCACCTCCTTTAGACCCCCCGAGGGCTCCAGGGTTCACCTCCTTTATGGTTTTCGAGAGCTCCAGGTTTCATCCTTTAGGCACCCCGAGAACTCCAGGCTTCAGGCCCCGAGAGCTCCAGGTTTCACCTCCTTTAGGCCTCCTTTAGGCCTTTAGGCCTCCCGAGAGCTTCAGGTTTCACCTCCGGCCTCCTTTACGCCCCCCGAAACCTCCCAGGCTTCACCTCCTTTAGGCCCCCCCAGAGCTCCAGGTTTCACCTCCTTTCGGCCCCCGAAGAGCTCCAGGAGAACGCAGGCTTCACCACCTTTACACCAAGAGTTCTAGGCTTCACCTCCTTTAGGCTTAAAGAGCTCCAGGCTTCACCTCGCTGAGGCCCCCCCAAAGAGCCCGAGACTCCAGGCTTCACCACCTTTAGGCCCCTCGAGCTCCAGGATTCACTTCCTTTAGACCCCAGCCCGCGCCCAGCCCAGCCAGCCCAGCCAGCACCCAGCCCAGGCCATGTCTGAGGAATCCAGGCCGCACCTTGTTATTGTGCCATCCCACCCGTGGTGGCCACGCCTCGAAAAACCCTGCTTTAGCTTGATGGGAAGAAGATTGCCAGATTGCAGAGTCAAACGGTATTTGGAAGTTTCGCACACTTGAATGGACGAGGACTCGTGAGATCGCAAACCTTTAGTGCTAGAAAAAAGCACCACGGCTCGGACCAAAAGGGTTTCCTCCATCATTATAGTCGTTTGTGTGCAAACATGTTGACATTCCTTGCGATGTGATTCAAGCGACGTCTCATATGCGAAGCCTTGCAGGAAAGCAGTTCTTGTGCACAGCTCTCTGCAAATCTTGAAGCTTCATGGCTCGAGCCCTGCACATCAGATCCGCAGAACAGGAACCCATCGAAGGGAATGAGCGGACACTCGGCTTGGAAATCGGCATATATCCACAAGAACTACAAGCACGTACTGCCAAGCCTGTCAACCCGTCATCGCACAGCTAAGGACCTGCAGACGATAAGAGTGCAGCCAACCTTGCATTTGGAGAAACTACGCACGCGTTGAAAATTCGTCCGAAGTGGCTGCAGAAGATACTCGCAGGCGCCAGCAACTAAAATCTACATCATGGCAGTCACATTCTGCCGCAGACCCACCGCCACCTGTTGCAGGCGCCAAGAAATTCGAGCTTCGCAAGAAGCCATGCCCGCAATTCCTCGTGAAGCAGCGAATCAGCTTGATGGAGACCGGTACCAAAATGATCCGGGGCACGGCCATGATCTCAAAATCCCGCCTTCTTACTC